GGAACCTCTTTAATGCTGGCAGTGACCTTAACGTGGGAGGTTCTGAAGGCCTTTTCCGGCTAACTGAAAGGTATAGCATGTTGAGGTATTGTCAAAAGACACAAAGGGCACACAGTCCTGGGTCAACGCTGAATACTCAGCTTCGCGCTCAGTGACGGCCTTGTTACTCAACTTCGCACTCAGTGACATGCTTGTAGTCTCCAAGCGGTACTGAACATCTCTTTACGGACACTCACCAAAAGGTAGTAATACTAAGGTACTGAGCATAACTCAGTTCTATAATGTAGCTCGACGTGCTTGAGGATGACCTGAATTTGACGTACTGAATGAACTTGAAGAGTTTGAGTGTCACATTCGTGCGGGCAAGGTACTGCAGCGACGGTACCCTCCTTGCATCGGTGCTTTACCTCAGGTTCAGAACTGGCTCAGACAAACAAGATAGTTTGTATACATACGAATGGCTCAGACAAACGGGATAGTTCATCCAAAGTATACGTTTTGAGGGAACATATACTTTACACTGCGGGACTGGATGAGATAGACCTCTGGCGTAAGATACAATCAGTGTAATGTTTGATATGTTTGATAGTACGCCAATACAAGTTGTCTATCATAACACGCAAGAATATATTGATGTTGGCAACAAAGAAAAAAACGGATCCTGGGTCGAGCGGTCTCAAAGGCCTTTACAAATTGACAAGACATATGCATATCCATGGGTGATCTACTTTACTCGTGCGGTTGGGCCACGCTTGTGGACGTCTCTCTGAGAGAGACGAGAGTGCTCTCCTTGGAGCTGGCTGAAAACAGTGAAGAAAGTGAACGGAGGGTGAATCAGTTTTGACTCGTAAAGATGATAAGTCACAGTGTGACTTACAGGAAAGCCAATATTGCGGATATTGTTGTTGTTCATTTTGCAAAAATTCCCAGACGTCTGGGTCAATCTCAAACGGTTCATCTTTGTCATCGTCTGGCAGAGTGATACTTATCGAGTTATGATCACACACCACAGGTGTTGGATTGAGACCGACAAAAGTGACATTGAGAGAAGGCGATTTCGGTCGCGCTAGATATTCGGCGAGAAGGTAAGCATTTGGAGGCTGAACCTCAAAGGTCAGTAAACACCACTTACATGAGGTGATGAGATCTTGTTGATTGCCAGGGTCAGAAGTGTAGGTCAAACTTGGCTTGAAGGATCCGTGCAAACATGCGTGATCAGCTGAAGTCTTACATGTGTTATGAAGACAGAAATCTTCCAAAGCGAGTCGGTCGGAGGACTTGAAGATACTGTGTAAGCAGAGACGACTTGTGCTTTCATCCGGTTGGTTTGCATTGAGCCGGTAGCTGGAATACAAGGAGATTATATTGGTAAGGGTTGATAGGAGTGATATTATTGAGTAGGAAAACAAACTGACCGTGCTACTGATACATTCGGAGCCAACTGCACTAAGCTTTGGAAGATATGAGATAAGCCGTCGATATGTTGATCCGGGCTGACTTTGATAACATTGAAAGAGGAAACAGGGCGACAGCACTCGTTGAAGTGCAGCTCTTGAAAGGCGCATATCTCACAAGCAATCAAGGCCATACCATTTGTGTTGGAAGAAATCTTGGCGACAGCGTTTTTGAAAAGGTCGGGCTCAAAGAGTTTGCTCTGTAACAATCTATGAGTTTTGAAATTGACGACTGGAGCTTGATGACCAATGTCGAGGACTCCAGCAAAGGGTCCGAAGTTGATTTTTCGACTTCCGTGCAGATGGGTGCAGTCGTGCTCTGCTAGAAAAAAACCAAGTCAATTAATAAGTGACTATCTATAATGCACGTGATGTTAAGCTTGTTCCGGATCCACGAGCTCTGAGGTCTCTGTTGGAGAAAATTTACTGACCACGACCACTTGAAAAAGCTGAAACTGCTAGAACCCGTGCATACTTGAATATTGAGAAGTCGCTGCGATAGGCCCCATCAAGATCTACCTGGTCGGCAATATGAAAACGATCCGTATGTTTGATTGGAGGTCGTACAAATATTAATGGAGTGTGTAAGATAATAGTCCGAGGGCGTAAACGGATAGTTTGGAGGTGTGATAGACAGCTGTTCGGTTGACTTGGGTCCAGAAAGTTTGAGTGCATAACGAGTGGACCTGAGCGTTTGAGATGTTCAGTCAGATATGAGGGTGCTGAGGTTCAGCAGCGCTTGCGGGAAATGACTCTGAGGCGGAAAGATTTCGTCGGATGTGAGGCATCCAAAATCTGAAGGAGTCTAGCTCTAGCCATTGGCCTAAACTTGCCTTTCATATAATACTATAGAGTGGGATTCGGCACTCACAAAGGGAGGATGTTATGGTCTTTACATGATATCAATTGAGGATACGCTCCACGGGTAACGGTTTTCAGCACGTCGGAGCGGGATCTCGGGTGATCACTTGTGTATATGTATTTGATCACAGAGGTAGTATAGTCCGCTCACAATATATCTATCGGTAATCAATAATTGATCACATGGTAGAAACTAAGACAACTGATAGCATTTGTATGATAAGCATGATAAAGAGCAGTAAAGAGCCGAAAAGGCGTTACAAGCACAAACTACGTATCTCGCACTGAATTTTGTGCATCGGATAGAAAAGGAGTCTCATCATTATGGCTGGAAGAACTCGAGGTGGCATCAATCTCGGCTTGGTAGTCAATATCAAGGTGTGCGGCTTCAATCAGTTTCTTGAGGATGTTCCGGTGTACCCTCAGGACCATGTGAGATAGGTTGGCTAGAGAATCAACTGTAAACTGGAGCCTCTTGAGCTCCTTCATGAGTTGGGGCAGAAGGACCGACATGCGGCTGACCTCCGCTGGAATGTCAAAGTTAGTCAGCAGGATGCACTCAAATATGTAGAGTTAGAATGAGGGCCGTACATCTTGTTTGAGCGTGTTGACATCCTACCAGTGAGGCATTGACCCTGTCATGAAGAGCACCGACGGAATGATTGAGAGAGGATAATTGGTCTGTCAACTCCTTTACTACATCATAGAGGTCGAGCAATCAGGATTAATTGGTACAATAAGAACAAAAAAAGAGCTCACTGATTTTCTCAATTGCTTGTGGGGCATTTGCACGGAGATTGAAATCAACGTCGTTTGAGGTACGAGGTCCTTGGTCAGGTATACTGATACTAGCAGGGCTTTGGGGTTCACCTCGAGGATGAGACTCCGACATCTTGATTAATAGGACAGTGTGTAGACCTGTTCGATAGGCTAATAGGATCAAGTGGATAGAAGATCGGATCGATGACGTCAGTCTATGTTGCTATTGGCAGAGTTATTAGTCAAGTACAAGAGTTGAAAAGAGCTGTTTATAGAATTCAAAAAGGCAACGTATGTACTTGTGTTATGGATGTTGGATGATGATGGGATTGAACTAGGTGTGGTTAGATTTTGACACCTTCACGGGCCAATCCTTAAAAGGGGGTGAGGCTATACCGTGATGTGATATATTATTTATCGAGGGATTTGCAAAGTAAGGTGGTCAAATTGGGCTTAATGGAGTGGTTTCAGGAACTCACGTAGAACGAGAATGTTCTCGATTTTGAGGATGTCTTGGATTTTGGGTGACTTGAAACCTAAATTCTTCAGATACATATCAGGTTTGAACAGAGGCGGTCTTGGACTGTGGGTGGCCCATTAAAGATTCGCGAGATCTTTGCACTCAGGTGTTCAGGCCATGTACTTACATACATACATAGAACCCGAAGGGCCGAAAAACATTCTCAAGAGTGGTTTAATTTCGAGGCCTGACCCAGATCTAGGTATCGTTGATATTTTGATTGATGAACATTTTGTGAAACATATTTGTCTTCTTTTTATCGGTGAGACAGGGTAGCTTTTACATGATATCGACGCTGATTGAGACTTTGTGAGGTAATAAATTATGAGATCTCGGGTCACGGTAGTTGACGTAATAATTGAATCTTTGGGAGAAAGACCCCGAAAGGGGACATGCACCCTTGGTGCGTAAGATACGGCCTGATACGGCCATTTATCTTTCTTCCACCTATCACCTGGTTTTACGTACCTGTGGTCTTCCTCAGTCGAGAATCCCTACGAAACAAAAATTCCAAAGGTCTCTTGAGCCACTCAATAGGCCAATAGAGATCTTGCTATGTATCAAACCGTGTGGGCAAGATGGCACATAGATAATTTGAGCTTGGCCAGTCTCAGAATTCATTGCAGTGAACTCAGAACGTGACACGACTATACTATCAATCTATCTAGTCAAGAGTTAGATATATAAGCTCCCAAGACCTCCATCGATATCAACGTAGAGGCAAACCCATCTCTCAAAGTGCAAACCTTTGAATTTCCTAAAGGTCCGTCGAGATCTCTTTCTCATAATATCAAGGATCTCACATTCTCAAAGTCCTCCTGCCTTCCCCGTGCAGAATAACCTATCATCACGCGGACATGGCAGACATCGCCCCTCCCCTTCGCGCGGTACTTTTAGAGGAGCATTTACATATATTCTTACCTCTCGCTCACGTCGACGCACCTATGCCTCGCACAAACAAACAAAACCTACTAGAAATGCTCGCTCTATTCCACCCGGGGCTGCGTCTGGATCCTAATATCGCACAACCAACCGCTTTGCAACTCTTCAATTTATTAGTTCGGCCTTTCATTCAGCGTATGGAAGATTTCAATGAAGAAACCAACACGTTGCTTTATTGGGCCATAGCTCTTTGAGAAAAGAGCCGTTGTATGAGGTAAGCTCATCCTTATGAGGATACACGCTTGTGTGCATTTGACCTTAGTTAAAAGGTTCTGATCGACATCTACGTTAAACAGCTCCTCCCGCGGGCGTGTTCGGTCCGAAGCATCAGTCCTTGATAGTTAAGCCGATGCACTGTTTTTTTTTTGCTGAGGGCATGGAATATGTGAAAAGTGGACCTCATGTTATAGTGATGCCGCACGGGGACATCCAATTATGTATTTAGACCCACCCCTTGGGATTTACTATAATTGTCTCTCCCGAACTTCTCCCACAATCCTGCTTGCCTGTGAACTTCTCTATCTATTTGTTCATGACGTCAAGTGTTTGTTTTCGCGGCGGTATTGAAACCATTGAATGATGGTATTTCCAAAAAGTGTTCATCAGAACTAGCACTTTGCTCTTGAGATTGGCTGTACCCACGGTCTAACACAACCTTGGACATGCTCTCGGACGATCAGTAAATTGACAGTTCACGTTGGATGCCTCACAATGATAGTCGGTCCATACTACAACGCAGCAGAGCAAGTTTACTGTCGATTACGTGCGCCACGTTAGTCAACAGGATTTGTAAACGACGTCAGCTGAGGCAAAGTGGACCCCATTTAATCGAGGGCTTTTCGTCTTCAAATGAGGTATGTAGTAGTCGTACGGTAGGAAATACGTTTGTATGTAAAACAAAGGACTACAAAACAAAGTGGGTCATATTCGGCGATAGATTGCCAAAGCGGCTCCAAGATGGTGATAGTCATCCAGGCTGTACAGACCTGATCTTAAATTTTTCCTCGTAACAGAAAGCTCCTTGCTCGGACGCGATTCTGTTGAACTTTCATCATCATCCACTGCAACGCGCCAAAATCGTATTGGGCTGTTGTAGCTTCTGCGTAGCAAACAATAGGTTTGTCCGCGATCTGTTTTTGTTGAATTACCCTCTCATGTTAACGCACTTTCTGCAGGAACAATGTTCCCACCTTACCTACCCGAAGAACACGTTGGCCTCATCCCCGAGTTACAAGCCTTGGCTATTCATGATTGAAGGCCCAATTCAGGACTGGCGAGATTGAATCCCAGTCAGCGTGCCCGTGATTTCAGAATTCCTGTTTGAAGTAACCTCGCACATTATCATATCCACTTCGCCAAGGACGATATCGCGAAACATGTAGCCAAATACAAATACCTCAACAAAATCGAGCTCGAAGCGGTAGAGAATGCGATATATATGGTACAAGATCTACATGAAAACGTCTTTCTCAAGCTTAAAGATTCTCACAACGTTATATCCTACTGTGAGATGTTGTTGCTTTCGCTCGATCCCGTTGTGATTCCTCACCGTCAACTTTACGAGACCCAACTCAAGGTGGCGCGTGCGGAACACAAAGCGATAAAGTCCGAAATGAAGTGTCACACCAAGAATGCCGCGGACCTTTGGGCAATTTTATCAATCGAGACGTGAGTGACTTCAGCACGTGGAGGAAGTGTTCATGAAATGTACTTATGATGCTTTGGTTTTTTTGCTGTTTCAAAACTTAGCAAACGCGCGTGTGACTACGAGGATGCAGTTGCAGCTGGTTTGGTCCCAGCGCCAGCCGCAGAAGAATCAGAAGAATCAGAATGAATTCTCAGTGGCAGAACAGTGAGTTGTTTGCCTTATTCTCACTGAGGAACATCAATCGAGCACCTAATAACCATTGCATCTTCATTAGATAGAAAGCGCACTGCAAGACTTATTATCCCCGATGCGTAATAGTAGAATTCAAAACAAGCTGATGATATACGTAGTTCAAAGCTTTACTAGCTGTTTTGCTGTTTATATTATGTCTATGCTGATTAGCAGATCACACACTCCACCTGTTTCAGCACCACAGATACTCTGAGTCTCACTTCATCTAAGTTCTAGTTCGGGTTCAATCTTGACATTGACTGTCTGACAAGCAGTGGAATATTTAAACTGTTGTTATATGTCCACATAACCCATCTTTTGTGTAGATTACTGCTTATTATTATACGCATGAATCTCTTCTTGTTATGGCCAATTTGTTCCTTGGATTTACTGGATTTACTTTAAACAGGAAGAGCGCTCGCACCAGGCCTACCTATTACGTAGGCCTGTTACAGGCCTGTGAAACAGGCCCACTACTTCTACCCCAGACCCGGCAGACGGTGTTCGATGTCGGCCCGGGCCCAGCCTCAAACCTGACAGCTGAGCGCATGTTTTAGTTCAATTAGCTTATTTTTGACGAAAATAAGCATCTTCCAATATTGCTCTTTTGCTTTTCAATCCCAATCCCAATCATCGAAGAGTACGGTTCAAAAGTCTTTCTTGATTCCCTTATGTTGAGTTCTTCCAGTAACCTGCAAGAACTCAACGTCCTACGATTCCAACGCACGATTCATTTGTTTCACTTGTACCTAGTGCGCTACACTTTGTTTGGATTTATTATAATTGTAGCTTTTTCTCTTACGTTCATCGTGTCTTTTCAATGTTGGTGCACGTGAGCATAAAACCATGTATTGTAACTTCCTTTCCTTCAATCCTCCTGTCGACGTCAAATCAATTCGGGAGTCAATCCGAAATCGAGTAACCGGTTGCTCCAAGGTTGGCCTTATCTCAACCCGGCGGACCGTAAGTCTATGTAGCACCACCACGGCCGTAACTCTCAATAACTGATTTGGCTTTTGTCTCAAACTCAGTCATTGAGACTTAGTTTTTCACCGGGAAGGCTTCATTCACTGAGCCTCCTCACACAGATGTTGAGCGCCGCTTTTGCCTTTGGGGGTCGGAGCCTTTTTGCATGTCTGAACATAAACAGCTAACAGCTTTTACGCGTAATTCAAAGGATGGCACCTTTCAAGCATGATCCAGTGCAAACGATGAAAGGGATTGTAAGCGACATATTTCATGGTAAGAGCTTTTTAATACGCGGACCAACTCCAATTCCAATCTCATACTCTCGTTCTTCAGTCAACTTTTTCTTTTCCTTTTCCTGATCTTTTTGTCTTTTTCACCCTTCCATTTAATTCTGTCCACCCTAATATTCTTAGATTTGCTCTGGCTAGCAGATTTATTCCTAATTTTCTATTTCATCTTTCTCAAGGTTTCACTACCCTCACTTATAAGTTTTTATTTTTCTTTGTTTCGGCCATCCCATTTTCACCGCTTGTGAAGTTTGTCTTTTTCACCCTTCCATTTAATTCTGCCCACCCTAATATTCTTAGATTTGCTCTGGCTAGCAGATCTATTCCTAATTTTCTATTTCATCTTTCTCAAGGTTTCATTATAAGTTTTTGTTTTTCTTTGTTTCGGCCATCCCATTTTCACCGCTTGTGGAGTTTTTTTGATCAAGCTCCCAATCCATCTACCTAATTTTTCGCTGTCTTCCTTCTCACCAATTTTTTTTCCACTTTTGAAGTCTTGTTGATCAAGCTCCCAGTCACCCACAAAAATCCTCCACGTCATCTTTTCTCGCTTCCAACATCATGCGTAAGACATCAGCCAGGGCCATTACAAGGGAATCGGCTGGAAACTCCCTTGTTACAAGTCCACAGGGTATGTATATCGCCGCCTGATGCATGTCATTTTGGGCACTTAATCACTGACCTCTTTTCGGACTGTACCATTTTAATGTCAAGGTATTACCGTTATTGCTGGTGCCAAGCGCAGACGCGAAAGTACCGAATTGGGAGGACCCGTTGGTACGTAGCAAGACTTTCGAAACCTCTGTTCAAGTCACGTTTTATTCTATGTCTTTCAAGTAGTGGTTGACTCGCGCTTTCCGTTGTGGAATTGATGTAACAGATGTTCCCAAACCTTCCCGGGACGTGATGGTTGCGGCATTGGCAGAAGTCGGCGTCGACGTCGGAGGGTGCTCACTGGACCACGTACAGCTATTTTCGCTCTACCGAAAGAACGCTAATCCTTCCAAAGCCCGAAAACCAAACAATCAAACTCTCCAAGACGAAATCGAAGAGATCGAAGGAAGAAATGGCCGATTGATAGTGCTTCGAAAGCCGCCAAGCAAAAGACGCTCGGTCAATTTTACTCTTCAAATACCCCCCCTGGAGCGTGAGTCTCCCTTGATTTTTCTTACGCTGTTGCCAAACTTACCATGTGTATATTTCCAACATATGTTAATCTCGTCCCTTTGCTTTCCAGGTGAACCTGCAAGAGGGACCAACTCCCAAAGCACTGAGGGAAACCAGGACACAAGGGACGATGATGATGAGCTGAGTGAAGAGGCCACCATCTTGAAGGAGTGGTGCGATTCTGATCCCTTTGGCGACCAAACTCATTCCGCGGGCCTCGGTTCTGGATCTCTCGTCATCGACAAGTCTCGTACTACCCGCTCACCTTCACCCCAATCGACCGCACCACTGAGTCCCCATACTCACAACCGTTCTGCACCTGGTGCTCCACCTCGAGTGCCAGATGGTAACTCTGACCGTCATGATTCTACTCACGATCTTCGAGGAGCTTCTACCAATCAAACCTCTCGTCAAACCTCTGGCGCTGGCGATACTCGAAAAGATCTCTCTTTTCTTCATGCTGCTTCTGGTACTTCTTCTGACGAGGGAGAGGACCTCCTCGGTCCAATTTTGGACCACCGTTTACGACCGCGGGATGCTAATTCTCGTCGGGTATCCAAAACTCGCTGTGCTTCAGTATCTAAGAAAGCAGGCCCATCTCAGAAACAGAAGATCACTCGCTTGTCACGTTCAGGAACCCAGGCGACTGCCGATGACTCCGACGAGGACGACGAACATGTAGTCGGTCTCTCTCGCAAGCCTCGTCGCAAATCCAAAGTTTCGGGAGCAGTCCACTCTGACAGACAAGAGACGTCTGGGGATGACAATCCCCCTGCCGCCATTGGTCGAGGTCGAGGACAACGTCGAGGTTCAGATCGTGCTCGTGGCTCCTCTCGTGGACGAGGACGCGGACAAGGGCGTGGACGAGGCTCTGCAAGCGCTCGTCCCGACACCACCAATCTTACTGTACAGAAAGTGTCAAAACCTTCCCGTGTCAAAATCACTCCGAGACAAGGAAACCCGCTACAGCTACGAGTTACTTCCCCCCGAGATTCTGCTTCCAACATTCAATCCACCAGTCAAAGAAGAAAGAAAATCATACCAGATTCAGATGAAGAGTGTCATCTTGACAATGCGCGGGATGATGACTGGACACCAGACGCCAATCGGGAAGGTTCAAATGATGAAGACGAAGAATTGAATCAGCCAAATGAAAGCAATAAAGCACCTCGAAAATCGAAGCAATCTAATCAACCGACGCGATCCAATGACGCTAACCGCCGGAATACACCAGTGAACTTCAGTGGTGATACAGCAAGTTCCCGAAGGAAGGGTAAAGGTCGAGCGACTAATCAAGATGCGGTTTCTGGGGACGACGAAGAAGCTGACATACTTCAGAGATGGAAGGACCACGACCTCATGGGAGACACATCACCTTTGGCTCGACCAGCATCACCAATCATACCGGACCTTGATGATCCATCGTCATCAGTTCCATTCGGATCACACGCCACGGAAGAGATGCGTATTTTATGCAAACATCTGTCTGTTGTAAGCGCCAACACCTCCACAAATATCACCGATATTCGGCGCCTCAATCATCGGATGGACATGTTGTTTGATCTTGTTCAGCGTGCTCTTTCCCGCGAGTCTACCGCACGCGGCTCTGCACCAAGAGGTGGGAGAGACGCGTCAAGTGCTAGGCAAAGCAGTGACGAAGAGAAAGATTCTCCATGTCCGAGAACCACTCCACAAAGAGTCAGTCTAGAGTTCAGACACCTCATTCCATCGTTTAGATATTCTGTTTACTAACAACTCTCTTTCCTACATCATTGACAGAGATACGTCAGGAAGCTTATCCGAGTGCTTTTAGGCTTGAAACCCGATGACAAAGATGCCCCACATGGTGCTACACCCGCCGAAAAACGTAACTGGAACACGGACACCATCACCATCCAGGGGTTACTTGCAGATGGGCCGGTTGATCTGCAAGACACTGACAACACCGTCTTCACGAGTGGACTTGCGGCCCACGACAAGAGTCCTGGTTCAATTAAAATAATCCGAGATACGTTGTATCAAGCGGGTGTGGCGAAATTTCAACCGGAATGGTCAGAACCCATGGCTTCAGTCAACAACGCACACCTCTGCCGAGTCGCAACCGCCATATTCATCAAACTTGTACAATCTGGTGAATATTCTGGTGTCTCCAAGGATGTGGACCCTGGCCAAATTTATCGAGTAATTTTGAATCATTTGAATGATACCTGGCGTCGAAAGTCAGCATTTCCTCTCTGAACTCTCTGAATACCATCTGACGTTGATCATTGTATATTAAATCCACCGTGATGTTTTTTCAGATTCCGCGAGAACCGTGAATGGTCTCAGAACCGACTCCAAGAACGACATAAAACAAAAGTTCAAAACAACCGAATTTCCAAAGTGAGTTTTGGAGACCAGTGCTTTCAGATGTTACTTGTGGAGATTCTCACTGATCTCATCTTCAAAACTTCGCCAGGTCCGAGAAGCACGAAGTCAGTTTGTTATGGCCCGGCCAAACTTGTGGGCCCTCACACCAGTTGTCCAGGCTTGCTGCAGCAATGACGAAACCGATTCCGAGGCTGACCAAGAGCAAGATAGAAAAATATGCAAGATTTGGCGATTACCTTGGCGAAATCCCTTACTTCAAAAAATATTTGATGACATAGACGCCGCCCGAGAAAGAAACAATCCTGTGAACAGTTCCCCCGGAAACCAACCAAGAGTTCGTCAACGTGATCCAAATTATCCTGTCAGCAAAAAAACACCACCAAAAGGCCTCAACGTTGATTGTTATTGTCCCTTGTGGCTGGATGCAGTTGTTGGTCGGCGCGAACTGCTGAAAGTAGTTGAACAACCTATCTTGGCTGCTGTAAAAAAAAACCTTGCAAGGTGTATTGCACTTGACATATAATCTCTCTGGGCGCACACCTTAAGTATATATATTTTGTATCATCTTCTCTTTCAATCTAAGTCTTTTCCCCAAAATGATTTTGTATTGCAATCCACTATCAATTTTGTATCCTACACTACAACATTTCTAGCAAGTGACGCAGCTATCTCCCAAATCGGACCAGAGTTGATAGTACCTGGGATCAATGGTATGGCTTACACCCATACCCGTGCCTTATAACACATCTGAGCGAAAAAATATCCAACTTTCCCCCACTTGTTTCGACATAGGTTGTACGGGAAGACAGTCCATCTCGATCAAGCCTAATGAAAGCTGTTCAGTTATGTTTTGAAACATTATGCGTTGTGAACAACCATTATTGATACAATTCATCCGGACAACTGCTCCGCAGCTTTCGTAGGCCAGGGCCTGCGTCGGACTCGGATCATAGCGAAGGAGGTAAACAGAATCTCGCGAAGAGAGTATCATCTTGGTCTCGCTCTTACAAATCAACTTATACATTCACTCAAGTTTTCAGCTTACTCATATCTCACATCATGAGCCACGGGAAACAGCCTGTTTTCCTCTGCTTATGCTCCAAATGTATCCAAGAAAGTCACCCGGTTGACGGCATAGATCAGCCAGGCCTTCTCATTCCCCGCATCACTTGTCAAATTCACCGCGCCGCAGATCAGCGAGCCAGTATTCTAGCAAGTCTTCAATCACGTCATCGACCTATGGTGACGAACGATGAAGAGCGCGAAGATGATCATTTGATGGACGTCGACGACCGTGATCGTCAGGAACCTCTCAACAATCCTACGGAAGATAATTGTATGGATATCGAGCGAACCAGTTCTTCCAATCGTCGAATATCTCAAGGCTTCGAGGGAGAACCCACAAATTCTGCCGAAAACATCTTTGACACAAGTGAGTTTCTTTGCTTCCATATGTTGTCTGTAAATCATCGTTGTCTGGCTTTTTGAAAAAGCTGACTAATGTATCCATCTCTTTCACCCAAAAGCCAAATTCTTCGAGCATAGTTTGATCGGAGAAATCCCCGTTGTAACTCATGCATCGCTCGTTGCTAGTCTCATGGCAGTTTTCGATCACTCCTCACTGGTGACAGCATCTTGGCTGCTAAGGGCGCAACGGGACGGTATTGCGTTGACTTTATCGCATGGACTTACTGGCGAACCATCCGGGCTTCCCATCCCCAACACGACAGCTCTTGCACTTCGCCATATTCCAAGCGATATCAGAACAGTGAATAAGTGGCTGGGGATTGATCCACACTTAGTTTTTTTCAACTGCTGCTCCGCTTGCTTCGCTCTATACCCTATAGAAGATACTCCTCAGTGTTGTGTTCACCTCTCAGATCGAGTCCCAGGCTTTGTTGAAAATTATGATGCCTCTTCGATACCTTACAACACGCTGAACGATTTGGATGAAGGTTCTTCTACATTCCAAGTGTGTTCGCAGCCTTTGCTTCGAGCAAACGGGAAACACGTCCGGAAATTCGCCTTTCAAGACTTAGAAGAATGGGTTGCACGTTTCATTTGCCTCCCATCCATCGAAGAGGACCTCGACAAATCACTGCCAGAATCAAGAAGACCGTTTAGCGACACCTCCTCTATCGAAGACATACAACAGTCAAAACTATGGAAAGAGTTTCGTGGGCCAAATGGCGGACAGTACACGGCTAAAACGGGGAATCTCACGTTCGCGATGTTTATGGATGGCATCCAGCCCTTGGGCAAGAAGCCGGGCGGACGATCAGCAAGCATCACGTTCATCGTCCTGGTATGCTTGACCTTACCTGTCGAGTCTCGATTTCTTCCAGAAAACATATACCTTTTTGGAATTGCTCCCGGTCCCAAGTCACCTTCCCTCGAATAGAGCAACTGGTTAATGGGGCCTCTTATCACCCAGCTCAACACCCTCTGGCATGATGGGATGTGGCTTTCTCGTACGCCACTTCATCCTCAAGGTCGACAAATTCGTGTAGCTGTCTTGCCCTTTATAGCAGACCTGCCAGCCTTACGTGGTGCCCTTGGAATGGCCCACCACAGTGCCACAGCGTTCTGTTCGCTCTGTTACATGACTATACATGATATTAACAACATCGATACAAGCTCTTGGAAATCCCGAACCTCAGATGAGCATAGAGCTCATGCCATCGCTGCCCGTGACGCCAAGACTGCCACCGCAAGACAAAAAATCTTTGAATCTTCTGGAGTTCGATACTCGGTGATGGTCGAGTTGGACTATTGGAAGGTGACAGATTATCACGTTATTGACTCAATGCATAACATTCTTCTCGGGCTCCTTTCATGGCATCTTACAAGGTTTTGGGCAATGTCAGAGGAGGTAGAGAACGAGCCTCCTCCATCGCCTATGACAACAAACCAGATTCAAAACTTAGTAGCCACATCAACCGCGAGGATTCGAAATCGCGAACAATATGAACACCAGCCACCAACAGTCAAAGGCGGGGTACCTCTGGCCGAAGCACAACTACCTTCAGACACCTCTTCTGGTGACGACTCTTTTGATCCCCTTGCACAGATGTTTTACGGGTGGGATGGTAGCTACAAACACCCACTAAGACACGCGGTAACTTTCGATTCCACCATACTTCATGTGGTCAACCCACGTATCAGACGAATCCATACTCCTTCTTCGCTTCAGCGTATTTTACCAACACTTGGCCAAAAAGGCTCGGGAACACTCAAGGCTGACGAAGTACGAATTCTTTTTACGGTGCAATTACCTCTTATCTTGATTCCCGAATGGACTGGCGAGAATCAAACCAACGCGGCTCTTCTGCACAACCTCGGCCATCTAGTATGTCTGACCAACCTTGCGCTAAAAAGGGCTATGACCTCGGAGCGCATTTCAAAACTTCGAGATCACATCCAGATATACCTCCAAAGCTCCAGGGACCTTTTCCAACACTGCTCACTCGCTCCAAATCACCACATGGTTCTTCATCTCCCAGATATACTGGCCAAATTTGGCCCAGTTCGCGCCTGGTGGTCTTTTCCGTTCGAAAGATTGATGGGGCGTATTTTAAAAGCCTGTCACAACAATCACCTGGGTAAGTTTTAGCTATGTTTGAACCGTCTATTTCCAAAATTACTGACTCGACATTCATGATAGGTGAATTGGAAATCACCTTCCTTGAAAGTTTCTGTCGAGCAGGCAATCTATCTGCTTTACTCAATGACGAACGCAAGATACCGCCAAGCTTAAAACCTTTGCTCCCGCAGCTCAAGGGTATCTTTGATCCCGTCGATTTTGAGCCCCAATCTAACGATCAGTCAAAGTCTCAGCCGCTTGAAGAGGAAATCTCCCAGCAGCTTGTGAGGCGTTTAAATAGTTTTCGCGCGGAAAACTGCATCTGGCTAGCATCCAACGAGTGGTCCAAGCTTTCGAAAGAACTCGCTGCTAACTTCGCGCCAGTTACGTCTCACGCAACCTTTGAGAATAGCATTTACCACCACGGAGTTCTATACACGACTGCTGATCGAAACCCAGACAATAGTGTAGTCCATGTGGTTTTGCACTCCAATGGTGCGACTTTATTTGGGCAAATTGTTTCAATATTCAGACACGAACGTTTTCCAACAGGGAATCGACCAACTGTTTCTGATACCTGGTTTATGGTTCAATACTTTGCGCCAGTGCCAGATGAGAAGCCAAACCCCTTCAAAAAAATTGACATGCCTAACATGCAGGTGCATCTACGACTCAAAGTAACCAGCTCCCCCCGGCTGACCCATATAAGTGAAGTGACTGCTCAATGTGCATGGATTGTCTATGAGCCAAAGGAGATCCACTTCCTTTTAAATATGCACAGTATAGAAATAGTCTCCATTGATCGACAATAGAATCATGATAAGTATACGCCGTTAACAGCACTGAAACCAGCTGCAATAATGATTAATTCAGCTTTACTGTGTTGTATGTTCTTGTCTTCACAAAACACTGAACTATCTCTGTTATAACAGCCTGGTATTGCACTTGAAGAGACATGGGTATGAGGTTATTATCATCACATTTACAAATGAAATGTAAAGAAATCTGATTGAATATATAAGGCAATGAATATCTTTGTCATACTTTGTATGTTTTGTATAAAAAGATACCAACATGAGAGTGACTGCTAAGTCAATTACAGTTTTTCAGATGAGAATATATCAATTGATTGTCAACATGATGATTCCTGTGAGGTTGGAGATCTCTGGCTCTTGTCCTGTTGGTACGGTGCTTTGCCCTAGTCAGCTGCCGGCCCCCGTAAAAACTCCAATGGTTTGGAAGCTGGGCTGAGGTATGAGGATCCCTGATTTGTCTCTGGGGAACCAATCTCTGTAGATATAGGACAGAGCCATGATATTGAGGATAGATAGAGAGAATTCAAAGGGGAAGGCCTAATTTTGTAAACAAATCAGCAATCATATTTGTTGGAAAATAGTATACAAAAGTAGATGGTAAATCAAAACTTGCCCATGAAGAGAACACTCAAAGGAGACACTCAGGGACACCCAAGATTTTCTGATCTACTGGAAAACACTCAACGGGGAACCAACAATTTGGTAGGCTCCCAATTGTTGGGCAGGGGACAGTCTGTGGACCTACATTCAAATCCCAAGCGGTAAGGGGGCAGTTCAGAAGTTGGCAAACATTTTTGAAAAGCGCTTGGAGTGGATATCTGGTGGTCCCCACTCCTGAGTAAGCAAGGCTCATGCTGAACTTATTGAAAACAATATGGATTTCAAAAGACGTCCCTTGAAAATTATGGATCACTCCACTTTTGGATTGAAATGGTAAGATTCACAAAGTAGTCTGCTCTGCTATACAACAAGTGCACCCTTGAGCCCCCTCCGCAAGCTCTGTGGGATATATTCAGTTGGTTGGGCTTTTGTTCAGCTAGGAAGATTCCTGTAAGAGTCCCAATGGGATTTCTAGTACAGGAACATGATCAAAGTTTTTCCCTGGGGGACCCGGATTCCCGCCTGGGAACCTCTTTAATGCTGGCAGTGCAAACCCATCAGAGGAACATCTATATTTTTATACAGATTTATTTTCAGCTTCCCATAGTTTGAGGTGTGGATCATCTTGAAGCAACATATAAGATTTGAAGAGGTATTCATCATAGGAATCAATTCCAGCTCCAATAATCAATACTGGTGATACCATAGGACCATGCCTAATTTGGACCATCTTAATCAGTTTTGTCCTCTGTATGCTTCTTGTAGAAATACTTTTGAGCTTACACCGGTCTGTACGTCAATTGTCTTTCCATAAAGGCCCAATTCCAATCTACAATCCCAGAGAGCATAAAGACCTTCCGTGAAACTTACCGCGATGAGATGGGGTATATCAGGACACAGTTATGTTTGTGAGTGATCTTGGTAATCCATGCCTCTTATTTCATAGGTCGGTATGTTGGTCAACCTGCTCAAGTTTACACACTCTGTTAGATTGCAAACATAGATGAGTGCAATGACCATTTAAATTTATCTACAGATTGACGTACTTCTGGGCATGTCTTCAGCTCGTGAAGTCATATTGGCAAAAATGTTGATTTCGAGGCTTAAAGCTTGAGGAAAGCAAACAGCACTTTGGTAGAGTAATGAGCCAAATGGCTTACACACTTGAGATCAAAAGCTGAATGCTTAATCATAGCTGTAGATACTATTTCACTGTGTATAATTGAATGACCCTGATCCCGCTGCTCTTGGTTCTCCTTTAGAGATTGTGAATCTCAAATTGACCTGTCGTTTCAGAAACATGCACATGTGAATAGATTTTGAATCCAGGTACAGTTTCAAAGTTTTGTTGTGTAGCTTTTAACAATGCATTGAGATCTTGAAAGACAATATAAGTATTGAGCGAATCAATTGACGTTAATGCAAAGTGTGCGATTATGTTGTTAATCTTATTATTTACTGTATGGATAGGCTTCATAGGGTATCATGATTGGATTTATGAAA